AGATCACCAGTACACGACTGGGCGACAAGTGCAGTGTCGTCAGCATAGAGGTAGACTTCACAGTTGCTGGGGGAAGGGACATCATGGATGAAAAGCGAATAAAGAATTGGTCCTGGGACCGAACCCTGAGGAACACCAGCCCGTACTGGCCGTGTTGTTGACAAAACATTGTTAATTTTGATCCGAAACTTCCTTCCTTCAAGAAAGGATTTCAGTAATTTTAGAAGCCAAAAAGGAAAACCCTTTTGGATTAGTTTATAGAGGAGGCCCGCGTGCCACACCTTGTCAAAGGCTTTTGAGACATCCAAAAGCAAAATGCCAGTACTCATGCTGAGGGTGAACCCTCTGGTTACATGCTCCACCAGCCTGACTGCCTGTAGCTCGGTGCTATGCTCGGACCGAAAACCGAATTGGACGTCAGGAATCACATGGTGATTTGACGAAAAATTCTCAAGGTGACGATAAATCACCCTTTCGGCGAGCTTAGAAGGAGCTGCCAGCAGACTTATGGGACGATAATCCTGAGGAAATATCAAACCCACCTTCTTTGGAATCATGATGACCTCAGCAGTCTTCCACCCAGCAGCGAAGTACTGGATTTTGAGCGTCGCATTGATTATTCTCACCAAGTATGTCAGGGCTTTCGGCGAGAGCAGCTTCAACGCCTTGTTGGAGGTTTGATCCTCCCCAGGTGCTTTACGCACCTTGATGTCTTTAATATGACTTAGGAGCTCCGCTGGTGTGCAATGTGGAAACTCGGAGGGTTCCGCTAATCTGCTATGTAGAGCCTCAGACGAATCTTCTGAAGAAGAGTCATCTGAAGAGGATTCAGTGCCTCCGCTGACGCCGTTGGCCCTAAAATATCTCCTGACGGATCGTACGATGTGCTGTTCCTCGTCGAGGTCATTATCGAGATCATAGTTGGGAGAGAACTGTTTTTCCATGGCATCAGCGAAAACCTCGACCTTATCCTCCGTTCTGAAGACTATGCCTTCAGGACCGTGGATGTGTGGGAGTTGTTCTCGCTTTCCGTTTCTGAGTGACTTTGCGACCCTCCAGAGAGGAATACTTGAATCAAGCATTCCCGCCAGAAAGTCGCTCCATTGCTCGTTGCGGAGTTCATGCAGTGCGTTTCTCACTTCATGGACAAGGTTTGTAGCCCTACCAATGTCATCAGGATGACTAGACCTTTTTGCCTGCTTAATAGCGGCTCTTTTGTCAAAGATTTTCTGACGAATGTCCGCAGGCAAAAAAGGTCTGCCGTGTCGTTGTACAGGAAATACAGCTGCACGCTATAGAGCTGCTTGAATGAATCTTGTCTACTCCGCTTGAGCGGCATCTATTCCAGACTCATCATCTATAATCGGGATATTGGGAAACTCTCTAAGCAGCAACTTGTATAGGTCCCAATCAATGCGTTTCCTTGGAGGAGCTGCCTCCTCAGAAGGTTGCTCATTGCCCACATCTAAGACAACAGGTAGATGGTCACTAGAGATATCATACAAGATTCGAGAAGAGATACTGTATCTACAGTTTTTAGATATCGCGAAATCGATGACATCTGGTGCCTGAAGATGGTTGAATGGATGATGTGTCGGTTCTTCAGTGCTATGTATAAGGTACCCATTTCGCATCACATGGTTATACAATCGAACCCCACTAGTGGAATTCAACCTAGAATTCCATGCTCGATTTTTGCAGTTGAAGTCCCCTGCCACAATAAGCGCACTCGAGTAGTCCAAAAGGACCTCCAGATCCGCCTCTTGTAGCCTGGCACCACACCTGACATACACCGATATGATCTTCAACGAGACACCTCCCGCCATATCGACCACCACAGAAGCTGCTTCGATGCTATGCATCTCCGCATTAGTGCTTCTCTAATAGCCTATATCTCGCTTAATCAACACTGCTAAACCTTCATCCAAAAGAGCTTGATGAAATTCCCGTTTTTTGGGAATATCCCTCATGCCCAAACAATTCCAAAAAAGAATTTTGATGAATGCAGGCTGTCTACTATTGTACCTAGACATTTACAGGAAATATCGCCTGCAACGCTTGGGTAGCGCTAATCAGTGGGCTTATTATTTGTTGTAAGGACCTTAGCGCGGTTGCCAGGTCCACATTTTGCGTGCTCAAGGGAGGTTGGGCAGAGGGGGCAGGCAAGGTTGCCTCCTGAGCTGCGTCCGCGTATGATATATTGCGCCTTTGCGCTGTAACTTGCAAGTTCCTCCTTGGAGTGAACTTGCAAGTCCGGCTATTTGCGGGATGTCCCTCTCCACAGTTCGCGCACTTGCGTTCTTCCTCTTCTGTGAGGGGGCACAAATGCGTCATGTGGTCCTTTGCACATTTTAAGCATTTGGGCGGTGGAGTGCAATATGACTGCGCATGCCCATACTTTTGGTAGCGGTGACACTGCCCAACGAGTCTGGAGTTCTTCTGAACCTCAACTCGAATGGCCAGTCCCAGCAGTTCGTGTTCGTTGAACACTTGCTGAGACTTTGCAGTTTTGGGCAGTATCACGACCACCAAAGGCATGGGCGCGCCGCCGCTGCGCTTCAATCGAATGATGTGAAGAGGGCTATATCCCCTCTGCTCCAGTTCTCCCTTAATCTCAGTATCCGAAAAGTTGACGGGAACTCCTCGAACCACCGCATGGATGTTCCGTTCCGAAGGGAGAGGAAAAGTGTGATGGGGCACTTCTTCCTCTCGGAATAGGCGAACGATCTTACGGTAGTCGTCCTCAGATTTAGGAATAATCCTTATTCCCGCAACGACGGCAACCGCGCGATCTATTTTAATACCTAGGGAAATAAACTTGAAATTTAAAGTACGCCATCTCGTCCCGTCGCGTAAGACGATCGGGGTTATGCGCCCTTGTCGTGAGGGTTGTGTTGATGCCACGACGGTTGGACGAGATGACGGAGGAGAAGTAACATCGGCTGACGGAGTCACCTGACAGGTAGATAACGTAGTCCCTTTCTTGGTAATAGAAGCATTAATAGTGTTTCGATTTGATGAATTGGGGGAGGTGTGAAATGGAATTGATCCTCTATTCGGAAGAGGAGGAAAGTCTTGGGATGATCGATCAGCCTTGCCGCCTTTCCTCCTTCTTGATTTTGCTTTTACAAATCCTTCCGTCTGTACGTCTTTGTCTGTGGATGTGAGATGATCATCAGTAAAGTTTCTCAGTGGTCTTTTTCGGGTCTTGGTCTGTTCTTCAGGGGATTCTTTTGAATTTAGTAAAATTGTTACCTGGGCGGTCAGGCTGTCAATTTTGGCTATCTGGTCCTTGATGGCTCCATTAGGTCTCGAATCTACCTCGCCTGGTCATCTACAATCAGCATCAGTTTTTCGATCGTTTTCTGCCCCGATGACATCTGCGACAGTGAGTTCATGTTTTCTGCTTCTGCTTGGTTTCCGCCAGCGCTCAGCTCTTTTCTCATAGTACATATATGGAACTGCGTCGTCTGTTGATCCTCCTGGGTCAACTTCCATCTTTTAACAACTTTTTCTCACCAACAAATCTCAGAAAACTTATAGCTCGCAAATGTGACAATGTTGTCTAAACCCTTCTTACAGGGCGTCCGTTAGTTAATGGTAAACTATGTTGAATGTTGTGCGTATCGTAGGACAGACAAATAAGGTCAGACATGTAGGTTTTGCGACCGAAAGGCTTGTGAAAACTGGATGTATACCCTTAATCAAATGTGATTAGTAGCTGGTGTTCCTAAAGAAACTTTTCCTACTCGTGCATTTAATTAAATTTTACAGCTATGATTTCTAACATCCTTTCGCTGGATATCCTAATTGATCATATCAAAAAATTATGGCATCAACAAAGATTATAAACACACTAATCATCATTGTGCACTGCAGTGTTTCCTTCCAGCAATAGTATAAAATTTACAGCTCGGGCCACAGGAGATATGTAAGAATGTAAGGCCTCCAATAATGCCGTCCCTGAAGCAGATCACATCAGCCAAACCAAGGGCCAAACCATATAGCTCAAGTCTCATGACGTTTGGACAACGCACGCAGCTACTACAATTCAATGTTACGAATGACAGTTCCAACGTGACATTCTTAAAAAAACCTACACAATTCATTAGAAATCATGCACTTAAAAAACTCGGCTATTTTTTTACGGATATACCGAATACTACCTTTTTCAAAACGCTGAGAACTGGATACTCGGTTCAGACACGGCCGGATAGTTAGTGGGGTGACGTACTTTGAACACTACACCTACTATTAGAGATATTAAGATTACATTTGCGTTGTGCACTTTTTGCGAGGACAGCGACATCTTTATGTTTTTTTCGGGAATTAACTTTGTAGATATTTAAAATCCTTGTAACAGCTATACTCTAGTATCAAAACGGAAAAGAGTAACAGAACCTATCGTACGCCACTGTTAATGCGACGTGCGAGGCTATGTTGTTGACCTAGAATTGAAACTATATTTTAACACTCCATTTTTGGAATATTTATTTTTGATATTCTTCCTATTCGAGGAAAAGCACTTTTGTAAGACATTTGCAAGGTATACCATCGGAACCTTAAGCCTCATTTTTGTTGAAGGTATGCAATACGACACACAAAGCTGTTCAAATTTCGAAAAATAACTTAATAGAATCGCTGCCATACTATGACCAGCACGAACAATGAATTTAAATACTATAGGTTTATGAGCTTAATTTGGGAGCAGGTTATGCACACAATCTAATGCTGGAAGGAATAAACGATACGTATGAGTAAAGATTTTCTTTGCAGAAACGCGGAATGTTCGTTATTCACATTTCTTTTCGACCTGCTGCATTTTGTTTATTTTGTAGTATTTGTTGTTTTGTTGAGTTCATATGAAAGATACAAGAGTGAATAAAAAATGTGGAAAGGCAATACTATAAGTGCGGCTTTAATTGAAATTCATATTTCAGCTGCTTCATGGACCACATTTTTTATAAAAAAAAGTAGCAGTAACACCTCGTATATGAAAAATGAACTACACAAATAGCGTAAATGCACTGGCTTACTGGAAAAGACCATCACTTTTACTGATCAACCAAATTAGGCAACCGAAAAAAATATGCTACAACCTTGGACTTTCTCCGGTGGTGAATTAACTTCTTGGGTAATATATAAGTTTTGCATATAGAAACACAGTAGGCCGCTCGGACTGAACGTCAGTACTGAATCTTAACCTCACTCTTTAGTAAATTTAAATAAAGTTTCACAACAATACGTGCAGTGTTCTCACTACAGTGAATTTTTAAGAGTCACCAAGTCATGTGACATATCGCGAGATTAAGGCGTCCTTGAAGATCTCGAAGACCTCAATTCAAAAAAAATTACATGAAGAATTAGGAGTAAGAAAATTAGTTTCTCGTTGGATACCCCACCTGTTGACTGAAGAGCAGAAAGCAGCCAAGGTTAATTGGTGTCAAAAAACGCTTGACCGTTTCAATTCCGGAAACTCAAAAAATGTGTACAGCATTGTTAGTGGTGACGAATCGTGGATTTACTGTTATGAACCAGAAAATAAATGACAGTCGGCTGTTTGGCTGTTCCAAGGTGAAGAAAAGCCTACAAAAGTCATCCGTTCTCGAAGTGTTTCGAAAAAGATGGTCGCGATATATTTGTGTCAAAAGCGGGTCATATTGCAACAATTCCTCTTAATGAGCAAAGAACTGTTACTGCGGATCGGTATACCACCATTTGTTTGCCAAAGGTCATCACCGAGCTTCGAAAAATCAACCCCGAAAGAAGAATCATCTTCCACCAAGAGAATGCAAGCTCGCACACAGCCCAAAAAACAAGGCAGTATTTAACGGAAGAAAACGTGGAATTATTGGGCCATCCTCCATATAGTCCTGATCTAAGTCCTAACGATTTCTTTACTTTCCCGAAAATTAAAAACAGACTGCGTGGTCAAAGGTTCCAGTCACCAGAAGAAGCAGTTGACGTATTCAAAGATGCCGTTTTGTTTGTATTTATATTATTTATGTATTTTGTAGATTTTAAAACATAGCCTATACTTTTATCACAAGTAGTTTCCGAGAAACGGAGCCCCCATTTGAGAGGTCCGAACCCTATTGTAGCATATAGTGAGCTCGGCACAGTTATTAAGTAACAAACCTATAAAATGTCAAAAAAACCTCAGAATGTTATCCTGCAGACTAGGTAGTATTTGGGGTGTAAATAGTCCATTCCACGTTTGCTCGCCATGATTTCTGTGAGCGTTCATCTATGGAGGAATGACTCAACTACACGAATTGTTGGTTGCAGAAGGCAAGTATGTTGTTTTGTGAAGCCGAGTAGTCTGTCGTGTTAGATCATATCAGAGCCAAACATCGATAACTGAAGCATCATGACGCTTAGGCAACACGTACAACTACAAAACGAGCTCACAACAAGTGTCCATCAGCTAGTGTTAAGTGAACATCTTGTAGAAAAATCTACGTTATGTCAAAAAAAACACTGTTCAAGGTACGTAATACCAGTGCGGTGCATTTTTGTACGATATATACGAAATAATACAACTTGTAATTATATTTGACTAAATATTGTTGACTCGATTCAGCAACGATTTACTGCGACCGACATCGATTATGAGTCGATATTGTATGGAATAGCAATTAATAGGACGGTGGTGCGCATACCTAACTATTGTGAGGCGATTATCTTCCAAACCATCAACTTGTCGCCTAGACACCATCATATAAGAAAATATCCATAATTTTATATAAATTATTTTATATCCCATACATATTTACACCAGTGTCTATAGTTACTGCAGGTAAACAAAGTTGTTACATGTTTTTTCCATAAAAACGGCCGCCGTTTAGTTTTTTAGTAGATATGTTGTGGCACCGCTCAGAATCTTTCAAGAACATTCTTTAAACAAATATCAGTACATAGCCAAACTTTATCATTATCGTACTAAGCTATAATATTCAAACGTTCTCAATAAGAAGATTTAAGGAACCATGAATAATCTGTTTAGATCGACTGCATATAACGATGCAAAGCCAAGTTAACTCCGCGATCTACAAGGATCTCGACTTTTTTAAAAAAAAGTGCTGTAACAAATAGTAATTCTGCCAATCCTTGTTTATCCTACACCACTCATATAACCCATCAATAACCTATAGCTAATTAACTCGATTAGAATCTATATCGTATACAGTTACTTAATCTATATTCTGATTTGGAAAGATACAGAAACATTTCTCATAGTCGGCGGGACATCGCATCGCTTTTAGCCCGTGGCAAAAATATCAATTTATTGTGTCTCCTCAAATCGGCCCGAACAATTACAAAGGTGTTATAATGCTAATGAGCACAGAGACGTATCAGGAAAAAGAATAGAAGGTAACTTTAAATATTTACATTTCGTAAAGTCCGGGTAGTAGGAGTAATGTATTCACCGTTCTCCAAAGCATGATTCCGCCGCATTATTTGTTTGCGTAACGAAGATCGCTCGGTGAAGGAATCATCCTTTGCGGAACCTCGAGCCGCTGGGCTTCGCCGGAAATCGTCTATGCATACCAGACTACTTAAGACGTGGAAGAGAAAACACGATGATTTAAAAATCGAATTTTCTTGAAACCATGATCGATCACGGGTACATGGAAAAAAGTATCTTACCTGTTTGCAAATAAATATGATTCTTCCAATTATGAGACGGATCTCACTTCAAAAACGTATTGTTTTAAAACATATTGTCATAAAAACACAGAACAAAATTACTGCGTCATAACAGCAGTAGTTGATAACCAACTTATCACTAATGTATAACAAATTTGTATCAGAGTCGCGGTTCGTGCTCGCACCGACTGCTCTCCGGAGACTCACCGACCCAGTGGTACCAAATCGAAAATACTGAAAACGGTAAACATGACGTATATTCAAAAAATAAATAAGAGGTCTCAAAATAACGACTACTAAAACTCCATCTGTATTATCGGTGGCAAACGAAGCTTGGTGCATAAAGATAATCTGGAACGCTGAATTCTAATATGATCGTGAAATGAAAAGTCGTGGGGCCGAACTTGAGTAACGGGGCCACGCGAACATACCAGCACCAAATTGACGTCGGATTCGGATACTGCACATCCCAGGATACTAGTTTCCATCCAGATCACAAAAGTATTTCTGAAATTTTTTCCAATTTCAATCCTTACCTATATCTTGAAAACGGGGCATAGTCACACTGAATAAACCCTGGATCCAATTAAAGAGTCAGAAAAGGTATGAGAATGGTCGGGTTCATATTCCCTAGTGATTCATTTTTAATCCTGCAAGAGCTGCTTTGCAGTGACCTTGTTGAGTTACTCTGCGTTCAGCACCAGTACTGTTCCACTGCCCGTTGTACTTTCATGCATTGTTCCTGGAGCAGTTCGGGAGCATATCACCCTCAAACCAAAAACCACTATAAAGCAGCTCTGTAATACGTAATACACGGACACTAGGAACTTAAACGCGTTGAATGAGGTTCAAATAATATGTATCATAGGTATTTTGGAAAACCGAATTCAAAACCATTCTTGAAGCTCTTGCTAGCAGCAGAAAAACTGATCTGACATCTGACTCTCCCACTCTCTACAACTTCCAGAATCCAATTTTCAATTCCTGCAATTTTTTTTCTCAATGATGATGATATTTTGAAACGTCAAAAATGAAGTCGGAACGATTTTTTTTGTTTTTGCCCTTTTCCTCTACCGCCACTGGAGCGATTCTCAAATACTAGACAGCGTTTTAGTCCTTGACATTATAGTAAATGGTGTCGAAATTCTTTCGAAACACAAATGGCACCTCAAAATTTATAGGCGGGTTAAGGATTAGAGAACGACAAACTGACGGGAATGAGTTGTCGTGATTTAGATGTCAAATAAAATCTACAAAACACAATATCTCATATATGCCAGTGTATCCGAATTGACACACAGGAATTGACATTGGAATAAGAAAACCATATCGTATTGTGTTGTTAGTATATGAGTATTTTATAATTTTTTTCAACCGCGTCCAAGAGTTGGTTTTTCATGCATTCGTCTGGATATAAACTTTTTTGAGTATAGTGTACGAGCCCCTTCCCACTTCAGTTGGCCCACTTCAAAATGTGTACCAAAATATGCCTTTATAAACTAAACATGATGAAACTATTTACTTCTATAACAATTTATTTTTTCAAAAACATTTTAGATACACTCTAGTCGTAAAAAATACATATTTGAAATCACTTAGCCCTATAACTAATAGAACATCTGAACAAATAAACAATGTGCGAATAAATGCGCGAAGTTAACAAGGCAACAATTGAAAGATTACCATTGGGTAGTATCACCTTTATTTTTTATTACGGCTGAAATTCTTTGGGGCATAGTGTTAACCAAGTTTTGGCAAACATTTGGTGTAAAACAATCACATATTTCTTGAACCTTTTATCTCAGTTCGGTGATTGTACGAGCAGGATGTTCTCGTAGAACCTTTTTCATCTCGTGTCACAAAGTTTCAATAGGTGACAGATCTGGACTGCTAGAAACTCATTTCCAAAGTGGTACATTATTTTCTTCCATCCATTTTATAGCGTTTTTTGAGGTATAGCACGCTGCACCATCTTGCTGAAACACAAAATCTTTGCCGGATGTCAAACATTCTTCCATCACTGGTAAAAGCGATTCTTCTAAAATTGCCAAATATGTGATTGTATCCACATTTTCATCAATAAAATTAAGTTTTCCTACTCCTTTTGATGACATACTGCCCAAGACCATAATGGATGCTGGAAATTTCACCTTTCTCCTCACAGTCAACATGGAATGCTTCATTTTTTTGCGAATAACTCTACTGCGACTGTCACCAATACAAACTTCGAATCGAGTCTCATCACTCCATTGTATTGCACACCATTGTTGAGGTGTCCATTGTCTATGTTCTTTAGCCCATCTAAGCTGATTTTTTTTGCAGTGGAGTTAATAGTGGCTTTTCTTTAGCCTATAAACAAGTTGTGCAACTTTAGGGTGTTTACTTCACTTTTTGTTATAAGAAAACTTACCTTGCAAGTGCTAAATCCCCGTTTGTGGGCCTCTCGATGAGTTGTGGACCTCGAAATTCTCCTTCCAACAGCGTCACTCCACAGAGCACTTAATTATAAATAATTGGCACGCCTGTATTTCACGATTATTCTTCTTAATGCTCTTCGTTCGGCATTTGTGATATTAGTTTTTTTCACATAGGGTAAACCGGTGAAATACGCCTCACCGGGGAATACGCCCCAGTGTCACCGTAACAAATTACGTCCGGCAGCAGTTACCTTAGCCACCGCCATTACGTTGCTGTCATACTCCAGAAAGTCGGCCGTGTGTGTTTATGCCAATTTATTGCGTTTTATTTGAAAAAAATATGCATTACTGTCATCTAGAGCCCATAAAATTTTAAGGTATGTAATATTTTTGTTTTATTTTAGAATGTCTTGCAAAATTTTTATAGTTTTGGGATCACTTTAGACAAACACCATTTCTAACCTATAAATTGCGCCAATTCCGCCTCGGTTTGCATTTCATGTTAGCTTGATAACCGGTGGGGCGTATTCCCCCGCGTTTCGGAAATACGCCCCAGTAAAATTCGTGTAAAACGCCCCACCCAATGGTGTGAGTTTTAGTTAATTTAGGTACTTTTGGTTTACAGAATATGGGTAGAGTATATGTTCGCAAAACCACCCGTGCTTCATTTAGTGAAGAAGCATTGGCAGAGGCTATGCAAAAGGTAATTTCAAGAGAAATGGGCACAAATGAAGCAAGTAGAGCGTATGGGATTTCATCTCGTACTTTACGAAGGCATTTGATCGCCAAGTCTTCAAAAGTACGCTTAGGCCGTTGTCCAGAAATAGGAATAGAACACGAAAGAAGGCTGGTCTTACATATAAAGGCCCTTGAAAGAGTTGGCTTTGCACCAGATGCTACTTCTGTTAAAAAAATGGCATTTTCATTTGCAGAGAAGCTTCATTTAAATCACCGATTTTCCAGAGAAGCCAAATCAGCTGGGGATGATTGGTTTCAAGGGTTTTTGCGACGTAATAGAGAGCTTAGTATCAGAAAGTCAGAAGG